TTTTTTTTTTTTGTGAAGATGATTTGTAAGTGAGAGTCCACAATGCTTATGCTATTACTTTGAAATGAAACCAGAAGTGGTGACGTGGTCAAACTGATCTACAGAACCACGGGCGCCGCTGTAGAGTCAGGAATTTCGTCACAGAAGCTGGACAGATCCTCGGGAAGAGTACAACCGAACTGTTGTATTTTGGCACACCACCTTGACCTTCGTCGCTGTCTTCGCTCCTGTCTCCGCTGTACCCTCTGTTGACGTCCCATGCGTCGGTTCAATCTTGCGGGTCGTCTTCCTCGGCCTTGGCGGCCCGCTAACCTACGGTTTTGGCGTTGTTGGCGGCGCTGAAGACGCGCCTGTCTGCGAGGGTTGACAACTCCAGTGTTACCTTCGAGTTCCGTTGACACATTTATCCCTTCAGGTTCAAGAGGAGTTAATCCCCCAATCACTTCATCCTCTTCATCGTTAAAGTCATCAAATTCCTCCTCCTCCTCCTCCTCGTTATCAATTTGGGCGTTCCCCACACAACTGGAAAAAAGAAGAAGAAGAAAACGTTATATTACAATACTAGATGAGCACTGGTACAATAACATTGAAATATAGGGTGAATTTGCGGTATATACTGTAACAGTACAAGTACAATAGAGGAACATTTTAATATAGAATTAAAACAGAACACAGGGGTAGTTTCGGGATAAAACGGGGCAATAACAATATTATTCAGGGACACTTCCGGGATAATCTAGTGCAGTTACATCAAAACATAGGAGCACTTCCGGAATAAAAGGTTATAGTTCCGATGTTACACAGGGACACTTTGGGGATAAACTGGTTTAGGTTATGAATGTTATTGTAAAGATCAACTTGACACAAACTTCAGTTTAGTCAAATACTTATACATGCATTTTGTCTAGACATGCACTACATTTTCCCCCGAAATCGTTTTATGTTTAGAATTAAAACACGGCAGGCACTATCGACTATCGATAACTTATCGAATGTTTTCATAGTTATAGTGAAAGCGACCTACCTTACAGATTGCACGCTCATTATTCGTAACAGCAAACAAGTGTTCTTTCAAAAAGTCCCACTCAAATTCACTGAAGACATGTTGAACCTCCGAACGATACACTCGTCACTGCTTCGATATTCAGTACTATATTAAATACTTCGCGATTACGTTTCCTATATTTTACAGACATCCGGTAAATATTGGTTGTGATGTGACTGTATTACTTCTATATCGTCTAGAAATATACATAATATTTTGTTTTATTTTTCGTCAAAACCGTTAAATCCCGATTTGTCATATTTACTTTATTTTGAATAGCGAAACAATTAATGGTATTACTGAAACTGAATTAATGAATATTTCTCTAAAGTCCCTCAAACAAACTGAACATATGGTCATTTCATTTTCAGCCTCGAATTTTAATTATGAAATAGCAGAGTGGTTAAACGTAACACCAGGTCGAGACATAAAATGATCGCCTTATCTAAAAACTATGTAGACATATTCCTACCGCCAGTTACATTTAGTTTGACTAAACCATAGGAAATAATTTATCTAAAAAAATGTATTTGAGAAACTACTGTCACCTACAGTTATGGAAAATATTGATATCGTGATGAAGCATTATTGACATTGTTATTTTTAGCATAGAAAGGATGACCCACTAGCCCTTCCGGTATAACAAGCGCAACAGGAAGTCCAACAGTCGAGAATCAAGTGTCACAATTAATGTCACGGGGTGTAAAGTGTTACAGTATAATATATATATATATACAGAACAAAGACACAAAGACATGGCAGGCAAACTTTGATGCCACAATTAACATTAAAGAGACAGCGGGAGCATGTAATTACTGGGAAATAAACATAGATACAAAGAGAAGGGAAAGGAGGAGAGGGTGACAAAGAGGTCCACTAAAATATCGTAGCATAGCACCGGCAACAAAGTGATGCTCAATAAAATTGGAACAGAGACGCGAGAGGGGGAATGCATTGTAACAAAAACATGGGGACACACTGTTAGCAGTGAAATACTGTTTAACATAAACACGAGGAACAAAATTTCACATTATAATATTTTACATGTAACATAGATACGAGGGACAAGGTGTTACCCTGTAATATTGTTACATAAACACGGACGACAAAGTGTTACTCTATAAATAATACAGACACGGTGGGCAAAGTTGTATATAATAGTATTTTGACATATAATTCGAGGTTCATACAAACCGCTTTATCACAATCTAGTTCGTAGGTCGTCTCAAAGCGGTTCATACATTATTATCCGTGATTATAGGGCATTTGCAACCAGCCAATATTTTTCTCAATTCCCTGGGAAGCATACAGCCAGTGCTGCCGTTTCGGCGCTCACAGCTAGCATCCAACAATTCTAGCACTGCACAACCACGTACTCATTTACAGCTGAGTAGACTGGAACAAGCGGAGTAAAGTATCTTGCTCACAGTACCGTGCCGTGACTCGAACCCGCAACCTTCGGTCACGCGCCCGGTGTCCTACCACTAGACTACCGTGCCTCCTTAACATAGACACGAGGGATAAGTGTCAAACTAAAATGTTAGAACCAATCATAAGTTGTAGAAGAAAATTTAACGAATTCGCTGGATAATGACTTGGCTGTAATTTATTGTATTGTCATTCCGGTCTGATCCTATGAATGGGCAAGCTAAGCAGTCTTGTAACCAAAAGGCCAGTCTTTTGCACGCCTGAACCTTATAACCTTCAAAATGATACCGTGGAACATTTCATATAATCGACCAAACACCTAACCTTCCTGAAAAATCCAATCTTTTAAATTGTAACCCATTTCGTTTTTGAGGTAATCATATTAGATACGGGACAGGTTGGGCGACCCGAGGTTACCATGATTACATACGAGACAGATGATATCATATCGAATCATTTTAGGTGACAGTCGAAATAACTTCTTGTGATTATTCATTTTCATTTTCATTTTAGGTTTTTAAAATAACAATATGGATATAAATTTGGTTTTGATACCTGACTATGAAATAGAGTGGTGTCATTAAGGCGCTTACGATTTTTAGCGCGTTCAAATGGGATGTTTAAGAGGGTCGGATGTAAAAACTAGGGTCGGTCGGGGTACCTGAAACATACATATATAATTTGTTTTGCCTGATAGAAGATACAAACGATGAGGTAATTAACTTATAGATCAGTGGGTAACACATTGGAAGGATCGCGAGGATAACTTTGGGTAATCACATATTTTACAGGCGTCGGATAGATCTAAAGCGGAGAACCAGAAATAGACTGGCAATGACAATGACAATTGTTTTATTCTCATAAACAATAGACTGGCTACCAGCCCCGAAGTTTCTGTAGAATCGGACATCCGAGAGATCAAATTTGCAAATGCATGATGCTAGAGACGATAACTTGACGTAACCGCATAAGATATAGAAAAGGGTTGCTTACATGAGGTAGCCATACAAATGCAAATTACATAGGTTTGAGTATAATAAGGAATGACCTTTATTAACGCAACGAACTATTTTTATTCGCACGCTACGTTATGCGTGTCGCGTTTGATGGTAAACAGACCAATGTGCACATGGTATCGTGACACCGGGGCATATGGTAGCAATTTAGTATTACGCTCAAGCTGCTCAATTATAACCCTTACCAGCGCAGTAAATTAAAAATAAGTACGTGCAACTGTTTAACTGTATAAAAAACACAGATACTATCGCAATGGATGAGGTGATGCTTTGAAATAATTTGCAGCATCACTACCAGCGGAACAGTAGCGATACACAAAAGTATCATTTTTACAAATGAGCGAGGTTTTAACTACGAAATAGCAGAGACGTATATATAGGCCACTGGAAATGGGGAGTAAAATGTATCTCACGTATCTCCTCATCGCTTATGTAATAAAAACAAAACATGCGCAGATGCACTAAAGGTAAAGAGCATGACCTCGGTTCACGCTTCCATGCAATTTGATTATAACTGTTGATGATGTCAAAAATAAACATAAACAAAAATTTAAAGGAAACAAATAAAGACCATATTCGGTAACAATTTCCATGCAGATCGAACTCCAAGTACGCAAAATTGATGCTACTTTCTTTGAAATATGACCAACTATGATACGACATAAATTACATACTTTTTCATGAACTGTCGAACCCGCCATGCCAGCCGAGGAGTACGGACTCTGCCTTCGTGATTTTGTCTTTGGGGCCTCCCTCCACGATGGGCCTCAGCCAGCAGGGACACTGCCACCAACACCAACAGAACGAGAAGAGCGTATTTCGACATGCCTATTTCCTTGTGTACCGCAAGACGGCCGCGAAGCTGCTTTTAACTTGTGATGGGGCCTGGGGATGACGACGAGTCCATGTCGGTGCAGTGGGTCGTAGGGTATAGATGACGTGCACACTCACACGCTGTGACGCAATTAATCAGTGTATGTGTCAGTTATGCAAATTATGACTCTTTGTGACGTCACTTTACTATTATTACTACCGTAAAAGTTAGTTAAATTGTCTGAGATAAGTCTAATTGAAGGCTGTGACCCCTCAGTAGCAATAAACGCGCTGTGTTTACAAGAGGGTGGCCCCGTGAAGTGAGTCAGCATCCTTCAAAACAGGCACAGATTTAGAGCGTCTGCGTCATTATCGTCCCACTGGTCATCATATGTACATGACACCCTCCCCGGCAGTCAGGCCACTGGTCATTTTATCAACATTACCCCCTCCCCGACAGTCAGGTCACTGGTCATCATAACAACATTAACCCCTCCTCGGCAGTCAGGTCATTGGTCATTTGATCAACCTTACACCCCCCCCCCCCCCC